CCGTATGTTTAAATCTTTCCATTTTAGGTATTTTAGGGCTACGCAAGTATTTCCGCTTTAACAATGTACTTATGTCGATTCTTAAGCAGTTTGTTTTTTGCTCACATTTCTGCTTCATTTCCTTCATAACTTATTCAATTATTATATGATGAGACGAATCATCGTTGTTTTTTGGTAGCACCTGAGATAGTAAACATGTAATCACTATCTTTTGAAAGAGCTACTAAAAAAGGCTATACCTGTGTCATGATTTAATTAGTTATCGCTTGCAGAATTGATGCAATCACAGAATTGCAGGGGCAATATCGGCCACTAGCGCGCAGATACGATACAATTAACAGAAAATACAAATTTTTCAAAGCGTAAATTTTTATTTTACTGCAAAATATAATGGATGAAACGTGCACCACAAAACTGACTTTCTAGTTATAGTTATCATTTCAGAAATTATCCCGGCTTTATGCTTATGATTTTCGACACCAGGTATTTTTGGCTTCTAGTACAAATTGGTTAAAGTTTCATTGTTGTGGTACCGTTAATGGTGAGAAATAATTTGCAATTTTTTAGAATTTAAAAAGAGGAAAAGATGATGACTGTCAAGAATTTGGAAGCGAGCAGGTACTTTTAATGCCAAAACACATTTTATGAAGAAGATGCAGTACCATGTTCATTGTTTGAAAGTTTTTTACTGTCTTTAAAAAGGTGGTTTTTCCCCAGGAAACTTTATACCAGCAATTCATTTAGGAAGTACTCACCACAATAAATGATTTGCCGGATGATATATTACTAATGATATTCGGGTATTGTCATCCGATCGATCTGGTTCATTGTTTCTCTTTGATGTCTCGCCGTTGGAATAATTTAGTAAATCACTCTACTGTACTGAACAAAGTTCGGGTTTTAGTCACTTGTCGTTCGCTGGAATATAAAAATGTAAAGGAGTTTTTCCCCAAGGTTAATCTTATTTAATCCTGTCCGGTTTTTTATTTTTATTTATAATTTAAATAGTCGAATCTTGATGTCGTCCTTTTCCACAATATAATATGCCTTATATAAGTTGCTCCAATACTCGGATCTTATAGCTTGCTGCTACCATCATTACAGATGCTCGAATTACAGAGTGAGATCAAAAATTGTTCAGATACAAATAGGAAGAATTGTGAAGGATTAATAAAAAAATTATTTAAAAAGAAAATTAGCAATAATGAGCATCTCCATTTAAGAAATGTGATATGAAATTCTGATTTCAAATTCAAAAAGAGTTCAAGTAGAATAGGAGTTGAATTAAACTTATGCTTCATTTCGCTTTCTTCATCGTCAATATCGTGCTTATGGAGTTATGCTTGTGAAATTATTCCTTCCTAGAATTCGAACCGTTTTCGCAAACTGTGCATCGAATGTATGATAGTGTTACCTTCTAGCCGAGTTGAAGAATTGTTCAATGTTTACATGCCAAATTCACTGACCTCGATATTAGTTCTTTTTTTGGTTATTCGTTTGTTTTTCTATACGGAATTTGAGTAAAAGTTGTTTAAAAAATTTCTTCCTTTCGAAACAACCTTCCTTAAATTAATTGATACAATAGTAACAATTCCGTTTGATGCAAAATTTTCAAGCATTGTTTCATTCTTATGTATTTGGAGATATGTGCTTTTTAGGGGCGAGGCAACATTGAAAGCAGAACATTGAAAACGTAAAATGAAAAAATCGTATTTAACACTTAGAATTTCACTTGCAAGACTTTTACAGAAATGAATGTATCATTGCTGAAGAAATTATCCAAATGTTTTCCTAATCTTAATCGTTGCATATGAAAGGAATCAAACGAGTATGACTTATATTGAAAATTATGTGAAAAACAAACTTTAGTTTTTGAACATTGGCATAAAACTGAAAATCATTTCTTGCTATTTCTGTTCACTTCTCTCGCTTTATTGCATTGCAAATTTTCAAGAAGCTTCTGGTTTATAAAGATTCTGGTAATTTCAAATATCAGCATTGCAGTGTTCTCGTATTCAGTGTTCAGAAGAGAGGCGTCAAATGTTGAAGCTGTTGTTTGAAGATGAGAATACCTTTCCAAAATTGGAGAATATTTTTATTGGTAATATCATTGAATATTGAGATGGAGCTGACATGAAGCTGTTGGCTTGAAAACGAGCACTGAAAGTTTTGCACATTGAAGATGGGGCGGCTAGAATTAAGTAAATTTTCTTTTTTAAATTGTTTCATAACAGTTATAGTAAACTTATATGGGAACAGCCCAAAAATTTTTTAATATCCTTGAGAAACAACTTAAGCAGTCTGTTTTTTTCCGAAAAGTTTTAGACCATTCAAACATTGTGGTAAGAAGTCTAAGCACGATTCATAATATTTAATATTGAAAAGAATTTTTATTAATCCTAATATACCCACTGGAAAATTAAATCCAATTAGCTTATAAATAACGATTTTCTCAATCGATTTAAAACAATGTAATGCAACTTATAAGTATTGCTTGTTAGCTTCTATGGAACCAGAACTTCTCCATGGCGATTAACACTTATGGAACTCTATGTTGGGTCTTTCATCACGAATCATGATTTTTGCTATATTGGCCTTTTGCATAATTTGAAAGTTTTGTCTTTGAATATATATCTTCATACTAATGATGCGGATATTTTGCACTTAAAGGCGAGTAAGGTCTTAAAAATTATGCTTAGTTAGTTGGTAATCGCAAGCTTCAAGACTGCAAGACTGCAGTGTTGCATATTAATGACAATGATTATTCATTATCAGCAATCGACAACTGAATTATTCGATTTGCATTCAATCCCAGGCAGCACGAGTCTCTGAAGAGTTTGGTGCTTAGCCTATCTTTTGTGCAATTTTCGCCTGACACGGAAATGTGTCGCATTGACTTGTTATTTTGTTTCTAATGATATATATTAGTCGTTCATTTTTCTTCTGTTTCAGTAAAGAATCCTGATATAAGTGCTCTCCTATTTTTTGTTTCTAGAAATGTAGATTTACCACTAATTGATCTTTAATGTGAAAAAATTCATTAAGTCGTTACCAGTTTCATTGCTTCAAAACAAATACACTCTCTTATCGGATTTTATTGCTGCTGTCCTGATTTGCAGAATTTATGCAATCTGGAGGACTTTCGTTTGGCATGTGGTAATCAGTACTCTAATATTACTAGAGAAGGAATGATTGACTTATTTACGTTACCCGAAAGAGAACTGGAGAAGTGGTTTCCATATAAACTTAGGAATCTAGCTCTCACTGAATTTCAGATATGCAATGCGGGACTTCTAAAAACTATTGCGCAAAAGTATGTTGTTATCTTTTATTGTTACTCAAGTAGTCTGATCAGTCTTAAAATGCCACAATGTAATCTGTGATAGTGCTGGGAAAAAGTATATCGTTAATAGTAATGCAAATGAAAAAGGATACAGATCATAATTCCCAGCTTATATAACAAAGTGCTTAATTTAGTTGTCCAGAATTGCAAACACTTAATTTGGAAAGCAATCAGTGTATGGGCAAAAATATTATTCAGTTCATTATTAACAATTTCAAGTAAGTAATTTATTTGTTTTTCTCTCTCTTATATTCATTTTTATACCTTCTGCATTTAAAATTTATTCTTAGTTATTACCATTTATTGATAATCGCTCCAAGCCTCTTTGGATACAGATTTCGTGCAGTGAAGAGTGATGTAGGTTGTGAGCAATCTTATTTTATTTGGACCTGTACAAACCTTATTTCTCGCTTCACTTAGTGATTTGTCTTGGGTACTGAAATGGATTTTCTGCATACAGAGTGATTACTACCCACAGGATCGGTTGCTATAAAAGTAAAATCTTGAAAAGTTAAATCGTTTTTTATAAACTCAGTTTGATTTTGGAGGGAAAAATTGCAATAAATTATGCAATTGTTCTTGGAGTAATTTTTTTCTAAAGTCTTGTTTCAGTCATTTGGTCTTGCTGGATTTGAGCAAAATCGGTGTCTTATGAAGATGAAGTCTGGGACAATCTCTGTGACAAGAGCTTGCCGAATTTACGTTTTTTGAGACTCCAAGACAATAAGGTGCAGTTTTATTACTAACGGAAGAATTCTGCGAAATCGTTACTATCCAATAAGTGGATGAACGGAACCACACTTAAGAATTATTGAGAGCTGAATTTGCAAGTTTTTAATAAATGATATTAAAACTGTTATATAGTAGCGGACGAAAAGTGGCAAAAGCAACCAGAAGTTTATAGATGGCGAGATATGAATTTCATATAACTCCTTGACGAATCTTGGAGATAGCATCAGAAATGGAATTTTTTCAGGCAGATATTGAAGTATTACAGCGTCTGAGCCTGAAACATCCTAGAATGCTAATTATGGCTAAAGCGAATCACTTTATTAATTGGAGCGAAACAGAAAATGGTTGCATTTTTCATGATACATTCGATGGCGACATCAACGCGGTAATAAACGATTTATTTCAAACAGATGGGTTTGGCTGCTATGGCAGAGTAACTCACTTCCTGTCGCCGTCCGTTTCGATTTAAAGTCATTCCTTCCGATACGGTGTTCAGTTTCTCAGAAAAGAAGATAACAAATGTTTCTAAATAAGTGGAGAAAAGCTTGGTCCAGTCAGTGATCCAAATTTGTTTTTTGATTTTATCGATGTCACTCTACATGAATAGAGGTTTTACGATATTTAGAATGAAATATATGATCAATTTAAACATTATAAAACCCATGTTTATTCATTCCCTGTTTACGCATTTATGAAAGTTCTATCAGATAATCAGAAATGTTATTATTTGTTAAATTTTATTCCAAGAGACATTTAAAATCTCTGTAAATAAAGATTTTCACATATATGCTTCAATGTCAACTGTTAGACAGCAGTTGAAGACTACCAGCATCGAATGATAACTATAGGAGAACTAAGTTTCCTTTAGAAAAACAGTATAATGAGTCATAAAATTGTATTTTACAAATTTAAATGTGATTTCCATCTAGATGACGGTACTACTTAGAACATAATTATGAGCTTCTTTCACCATTGAACGAATCGTTCTTAGTTGACGCACTTCACTGAATGACAATTCGTAATCATATACGCTTTGAACTATACTGCGAAAATCAAAGGTTCGATTTTCAAGCCTTAACTTTTATCAAAAATGTTGTGACTTTAAAACAGAGTTGTTTTAAAACTTCGCAGTCTTCAATTCGCGGTTCTTCGGGCTATTTTTTTCATTTTTGCTGCTTTGAAATCTGCATCTTCAGGCCTGCAATCAGAAAGTACAATTATTAGTAATATTTTCGTGACAAAGAAAAAGTTCCAAGTTCGCTTACCCATATCTAAATCGTTTTATGGCTTTCTTTCTCACGTCTGTTAATTCGCTTGTGAACGAACTCCCTAATTTCCGTTTCTTTCTATCTCCATTCGCACCACGGTCACTGTTTTCCCTAACAACTCGTAACTTTTTCCCTTTTTTTACACGCTTTGCTGCACGCACTTGAAATTCTGCTATTCGCTGAGCTCGTAATTCTTCCTGTGCGTTAATGTTCGGTAGTTACAATGAATAATTGCTATGGAATTAGATTACTTGATGAACTAGGAACAGTAACCACGAGTAATAAGTTGTCCAGCGTTATGAGTAATAAGAAATAATAAAAATATCCAGCGTTATAAGGAAGAGGGATACAATTAGCGCATTGAATTATTGACACTAGAAAGGCGTGACGGATCACCATCAAACAGCGGAAAATTCTATCCATTAAGAACAATCATCCTCTATAAACGTGGTACAGTAATTTTCATCTTCTCTCAACGATGTTGTTCCCATACATACCATCCCTTTTCGCGAAGACCGCTTAAAAAACTTTACCTCATTGCTTTCACCGATTTCATCACGATTCTTGCTTTTCCTCGCATCTATAAAAAAAACTACTTTACAGAATATTACATTAAAATCTTCATTGACAGACACATGCACAGCGCATCTCCTCTTCCTCATATTTTTAGCTCTGTTATTTGTCGATACTGAAGTTAATATCATTATAAAATTGATAATCAGATTGTGCAGGAGCTCAAATGCAACATATCTCTTCTTTCTTACCAATCAACGGTTTCTGCAACTTCATCCAACGTCGTTTCTCGACATTCCCTTCCAGTCTTGCTTTACCTCTTTGCAACTCTTCCTGCGCAAGTCGCAGAGTTCTTTCTGCTTCTTCCTCCTCTCTAATTCTTTCAATACTTTCTTCTAAATTCTTAAGCCTGTTCTTATAAGCTTCGATCACATCTGTAATAAGAAAAAGCTTCTCCTACTTGAAGGAAAATAAGAATTATATTGCACTGGAACTCGATAGCAAACTTCCCAGTAATCCCAAAATTGCATCGAAATTAGAAGAGATTGAAAAACTGACTGGCACTGATGAGTCGCTGCTTCAAAGAGCTCCCTCTATTCGAAGCTACAATTTCCTTCAGAATTTTTCTTTCACTTTCACCCACCAAAGAAATAGATCGTCCTACACGACCCGCTCGAGCAGTTCGACCAACTCGATGAACGTATTGCTTCAGCGTAGTGGGCATATCCATATTAATGACCTAATTGCATTTTGGCATATGAAGATTAACAGCTCAATCAATATGGGACAGTCAACAAGTTTGTCTTCATCAAAATAACTTCAACGTGGATTACTTCATAACCCATCTTATTAGACAAAGAAAAAAAGTGTGATTAATTACCTTGTTTTTTGCAAAAAAAGAACTTACCGTCTTAACACCTTCCACGTCAAGTCCTCTTGCTGCGAGATCTGTTGAAACTAATACATCAAGTTCCGCTTTTTTAAATCGAAACAATGCCTCAACACGTTGTTTTTGCGTTAAACCACCGTGCAGTTGACCAACCTTAAGAAATTAAATTTGAGAAATCACCGCCAAGTTCGAACATCAAAACTTCTAACATATTCAAAACAAAAAAGCAGTTCATCTAAATGGCTTGTGTGCTACAAGTGATTGGATTTCTCTGGAGCTTTCCATAAATACTTATCATTATGCAACACTTAGCTGAACACTATTTAAACAAACAATTCCAAACAACTTACCTTAGCTCCCAATAAACCCAGTATAATATGGAGTCGCCGACAAGTTTTTTTCGTCTTCACGAATATAATTGTATGGTCAGGAAAATTCCGTGTAACTAGGCCTAAAAAACCACAAATCCACATGAAAATTTTAGGAATATTAAAAAGACAAAAAAAAAACTACATACTACCTGCTACAATACATTCCCGATCAGTTTCATGATTTTCTCGTATACGTATGAATTCCTGCCGAAGATTCACAGCTGTTTCCGTATTGCTAGTGATGAATAATTTTACTGGATTTTTTAACGAAACAGCGGCCAATTCTTCAACCTCAAAATACTGATCAATAAATAAACAGTACAACAAAGACATGAAATGAAAAACAAAGAAAATTTCTTCACTGACCTCATACAAATTTTTGACGTAAAAAAACAAATTGATAAAATTATTGAAAATCGGAATGCTAAGAATCAGAATTTGTCTTTTCACCGTGACTCTATTATATCAAACATGTTATGGACATAAATATATATGTATTGATAATCATTTGTCCTTTTTAGTACCGCACGTTATAATTTAACAAAAAGTCAATGAATTCAAAAGATGAAGATTTTGAAACATACGTACATGATCTGTCATTGTGGCTGAGAACAGCATCGTCTGCCTATTTTGCGCACATAAATGCATAATTTCTTTCATTTGATCAGCGAAAGCCTCGTCCAGCATTCGATCTGCCTCGTCCAGAACCAAAATCTTCAAAAATCAAAAGATCTCCAAGATACAACGAACTGAAAAGTTAGAAGATTACTGAAACTCGCCGTCCATATCCTTTCCACACTGCATTTTGCAACAAGATATAAGAGTGACCAAAAATGTTCGATCATTTTCGGTATTTTTAAAAGTAAAATGAACAGCATTAGAAAAAATACCTCCACATCAGCAAGTGAGAAATTAGGAGTATTATGTAAATGATCAATCAGTCGTCCTGGTGTAGCAATTACAATGTCTGGACGTTGTCGTAATGCCGCTTCCTGCGTTTTCAAATCCAGACCACCTTCAATGTGTAAATTAAGAAAACAAAGCAGGCGAAATAAATAGGACAATTTTCTTAGAAAGCATAAATAAAAAACTTTCAAACTAACAAAGCAAAAAATCGTTCTGATCGAATGTGAAAAAATAAAAGAGCAAAAAGAGCTCAACGAAAAAAAAGAACGAGTAATAATCAAAATGAAGAAGATTAAAAACAACGGAGACAAATGACTGATAGAAGTCCAACAACAAAATATACTTAAAATCCCTGAAAAAACTCTGCTTTTATAACAGTTCCTCCCTTGTTGCCAGTTTTCTAATGCTTATTGGCTGATGATATATTCATATGCGAAAATATATCAACACAAAAAACAGCCCTGTCTTTTTTTAAAATTAAATTCATTTATTTTGCAAGAGAAAGATGAGATTTTTGTCATTCACAGTGTTAGAACGGAGCCGTTAGCCTTTTTGCTAACAATTCACCAGCCTTTAATCAGCAACGATATTTCATTCATTAGTTCTTCTCTAACTTACAAACATTAATAAGTTTACAGTAAGCTAGTACTTTTTTAGTGCAATGAGTACCATTTGTCACATAATTTGCACTGAGTTGAAAGCAACCTAAAGTAAGTAATTTGAATTGAAAATCATTATGAGAAGGAGAAGACATAACGCCACAAATTATGAAGGCTGGTTCGTAACAAGATCTACGTAGAATTTTCTATTAGATTGTAACGTAATGATAAAATTGTTAAGTGCCCGATATCAGGGTCTGTTAAGAGTGGAAGAAGCACTTCATGCAAGCGCCGTAAAAAGTTGAAGATTTTAATAATAATGTTATGTCTATGTCTGACACCGGGAGATAGTTATTAGAGTTGGTAAGTTCAGACAGATAGTGCTTACAGAAAGAGAAAAAAGTATTGATTAGCATTTATTATGTGCGTGATGACTTCCAACTCTTTAGCCTACGGATTGGTTCATTCTACTATCTTATTTAGATGGAAAAACAAACAAGTTTATAGAGATATGTTTTTAACTGTCAAATTTATGGGCTTTTTTTATTTCTTACATAGTTTGTTTTAGATATTAATCTAGCTGAAAGGCGTTCCAATGCGAAAAAAAAAAATTTTTTTTTCATATTCAATTAGAAGTCTCCGTCAAAAAACGACCATATATAAGCAAATCAAGTAATCAATTTTTTAATGCTTGACAAAGTACAAAAAAGAAAAAACTTCCGATCATTTAGCAACATATATTAAAGCACAGCGGAAAATGTCTCAGTGGTTCAACTATTCAACAAAACAGCTGCAAAGATGCTAAAAAATTTGAGAAAAGCTTACCAATAATTGATAATAATAAAATTTGTTCCCTTTCCAAAAGAAATGAACAAAGAAGGAAATATTTTTGAGACAAAAAAAATTTCACCTATTTTACTGGATAGAAAATGTCAGTAAATTGTACCAGAACATTTATATCGATTATCACATTTGTAACAGTTCGTTAAATGCCACCTCAAATAAATCATAATAAGGAGACAGGGAGGAGATATTTTTTAGAAAGAACTGATAAAAACCAAAAATTTCAGATAAAGTAGATGAATTCTATGTTAGGAACACAATATAAGAAAAGAATTAGATGAAAGGATTAAGATACGGCATGAGAAAGGGTTTAAAATTATGACTGAACGCATATAAATTGAAATCTTCAAACAATTTCTATACTTTGCTGGATTCCAAACTTTTCTTCGTCGTCTTAAACAAGCAATTTTCCACCTAATTTGCCAGGAAAAAACTCCGATTCTCTTCTGGTCGCTGCCGAGAATTAGTTGAATATCCACATCTCTCTCCTCAACTGCTCCACTTTAACTGAAAACCTGTTCCAATCTGCTCCCTCGCGATTCGACCTGCATTTCCCATCATCACTTTGATGACATTCTTTTCTCAGCTCTTCCTGCTTCATTTCAGACCCTTTCTCCAGTATTTTATTCAATTACTCTTCGATACTTATTCGTCCGTACCTGTCACTACAGCAAAATTTCATTTTTAAACACAATCGGCACCACCACCTTACCCTCCCATTTCAGCAATACTATCATAATATTCCAGCGAAACACAGCAGTAGCAGCAGAAGACCAGAGAAACGATTCATTTACTACACTCATACAACTTCTTTCCTCCGGTTATCCAGAATACTCCATCAAATCCGACCTCCGACCTTTTCTTAACAACGGAAACATCGAAAACATCTATACAATTTCACTGAACGATCATCCCATCCCATCTCAGTGGCCCGATCGTTTCCCACTTTCTATGTTTACTTGTTCTTCTCTTCTATAGGATAACATTTACTCCAGAGAAAGGGAAAATTTTATATTTGATCTCATAAAGGATTTGTTGATAACAATTATAATGGAAAGAAACCAACGAATTTTGCTCTTAGTTTGTATTATCTATGGATTATGGAATATTGGCACTCAATGGACAACAACATTACTTTCATTCCTGCAATGGGATACTATTCATGTTAGTTTGATAAATTATGGCATATTATTTTTTTTTTTTAATTTTAATATAGAAATCGACATAAGCCTTGATAGAATACAACTATTTTAGTATATCTTCAGAGTAGTGATTATCGATAAGAAGACAAAATAACAAAAGAAAAATTAGATTTGCAAATATTTCACAAAAATTTGTTGACAAAATTGCGTGTAATCAGTACGATGTTGAGTACCAGAAACAGTATCAACTAACTCAGCGGTGTAGAAAAGCCATCAAATCTTATTTGATTTTCATTTCGTTTATCCTGACACAAAATGGCTTTTCCACGTGGCGAGAATCATATCAAGATACGTTAAGACGAAAATCAATTTCCAACTAATTTCTTGACTCACTGCAAAAATATAAAATGACAAAAAAGTTTGTAAAAACAGTGGATGAATTAACAGCTATTGATTAGGCACAAATTATTAGCTTTCCTGCAAAAAAGAGTTCTTTTGTATTCCAATTTACTAATTTTTTTTTTTTGAGTTAAATGTAATGAGGTCCAAATTCTTGCTAGAATTTTAGGAAGTGCTTTTCTTCGGTAGATTATTTTTTAATACTTTTAATTAGGAATTAAATGTGATTGAAATGTAAGAGGGCTTTTTTAGATGAAATTAAAGGAGATAAACAAATTTTCTGAAGATTTATAGAAAAAAAACAAGTTTCAGGTGATGACTATAGTGGACATTGGTTATATCCAGTCGTTTGGAAGCTTTTGTAATGCTATCGGTGCCCTTGTAGTCGGACAGGTTAATTCCAAATACTATATATTTTGGCAAGAACAATTCTTTTATGACGAACTGTACTAAAGGACCGATGAGACAAAGTGCTATAAACAATATATCATTAAAGTTATTTAGATTGCCGACACAACCGGTCCAAAAACGATGTTTCTATTTTCATCAGTTATTATATCGATCTATTATTCAGCGCTAGCCTTTGCCAAGTGCTGGTACTCATTCTTTTTTCTGCAGGTAATTTCAAAATCAGCAAACACATTCTACTTGACTGGCATTTTTAATCAAATACTTCACTCTGTTTTAACTGTCTTTTCATAGGTACTTAACAATGAATTATGGATTTTCTCCAAAACGCCCAGAAATTATCCTATCAGTTAAATTCGTGTTAGAAAGTGACTTTATTATTTCATCCGTCCTGTTGATTCTTCTTAATGATTATACTAAAGCATCCAATCTTACCTGAAAGCCAGGACTTCATGGAGAATTAAAGAAACTGAATACATGTAGATCAAGAGATGCCTATAATTATTATCAGTAAAACAATGTAGTCGGTTTATCAAAAGAATCAATAGAGTAGATCAGTTACAGTGCAGGTTATGGGAATAAGGACTGAAATTAATTAAAATAAAATCTCTCTATTAAGTTGCTAAGAGTGGGTTATCAACTGGATGCAACTGCTGAAATGTATCTTGCAACTATTACAACGGAACGAGAAAGAACTACTGCTCTGATGCGGCTCACCGTACCACAGGTAACTTTCTTTTCTTGTAACGCTTTTTTCTTATCTAACAATCATTTGAGATACTATTTAGTGACTAGACTAAACTGATCAGATACAAAGCCTAAAACCTGGAGATAATAATAAAAGGTAACACAAAAGCCGCTCCAGGTATTTTGTACCTATGATATAGATATGACTCAGTATGGAATTCATTAATTTTTACATTTTTATGCTTTGCTCGAATTTCACCATAGCACTAGAAATGTATCTATAGTCTTTGGCAATGTTACTGGGTCCAATGTTTGCATCACAGTTGGCAATTAGAACCAGTCTTCGTGCATCACAATTCATTTGTGGTATCGCTTTAATTGTGACGTTAACTCCATTTATTCACTACGTTCTACCACAGACACACAGTATCCCCAAGCTTGCTACTGCCCGACTACGTCCGCAGGTAATGGTTACAATGTTAAAAAAACTGATTGAAGAATTTAAATCATCGGTCACATGAATATGTACTCAGCTCGCGCCACACAACACATTTAACAAGTTAATAAGTAGATGTACTCATTACCTTGCAATTAAAATTTTCATATACAAGAAGCATATTAGTTTTGTTCAGATAAGTATGATCGAAATTTTTTTCCACATGATTTAGTAGTTTTTTTCCTGAAATTTACCTACTAAAGCACGGATATTAACTATGCTTTAAATTCTATTACGTTTAGGATTATCTGTCAATGATAAAGCATAATGTTGCCCTTCGAGAAGGTATTTTTTTGCGAGGACTGCTTATTGCTGCTTATATTTGCTACGAACTAATATCCAGGAATTTCCTTCTCCGTTCATTTATGCAGGTTATTTTTATCACCGTTCTAAATTTTGAAATCATATCTTGTTCTCTCAGGACCTAATTTGCATATAATAACAGCTTGCTTGCTCAAAACTTAATTTTCATATAAATAACTATAGAATTCATAATACAATGAAGATGCTGACAACAAAACAAAATTCACCTAACCAATTATCAAAATAGTGTCCATGCCTATCTAACAAATGAACAAAAAGAAATAAAGAGAATGAGAGAATAAGATCAGACAGCAATTTCCAACAGTCGATATACATATTAAACTAATTTATGAATAAAGTTCCGGTATTTAATCCTCAATCTGAACCATGGAATTTATCAACTATCAATCTTGCATTATCTCGAATTGAAAGAGTTTTATTCCTAAAGATTTTAGGGTCCAAATGATTCGGCTAAAGTGCTTATTGTAATGGGCGTGTCACTATTAGTGGTACAATTCCTCCTACTACCTCACTTGCAACGACGTTTTTACCCGCGGACAGTACTAATTATTTCACTGATTGGCCTTTGCTGTGCTTATTCACTAGTTAATTTCATTACAAATTTCAACCAACTACTTGTCGTCATAGCTCTTCAGACGGCATGCTATGCTATTGCGTATGCCGAAAGCTATGCGCAAATTACAAGGTAATTTAATTTTAAAATTTAAGACGGGAAACCACCGATACCCAAAACTAAACTCAAAGACAACATCAAACAATAAATCTGTGATGGGAGAAATTACTGAGTTAATTCTGAACTAATTAGCAGTAAGAAAGTCATTGTGATTAAAAATTGCGATAAGTGATAAAATGATTAAAAAGAACATTTTTTCTATCTACTTATGAGATGGATAACGATGTGCTTGAAATATTATAATGTTGATACTAAGTCAAAAATTTTCAGCTAAATAGTAGTATGTTTCTCGCTTTTGTCCGTAATTATGCAACATTTTCTTGCCATATCCCAAAATAGTCTCGTAAATTAGCATTTTGTTTTTTTTACGTCAATCTATGGTTGCAGTGCCGTAGACAATACCGATTTGGGGAAAGCGACAGGACTGGCATCAGCCGCTCAATGGATTACACATTTCATAGTTCCAATTTATATATCACATGTGGTGCAGTCATGGCACTATACCTATGCATTCTACACCAGCGCACTACTCTCCATCGGAGCTCTTTGCTACATCATTCTAGTCGCTAAACATCCAAATTCTCGTGTACACTCCTTATTACCATCGATTTGTCTAGTATAATTTATTCTACTGTTTTCTAAGATTGATTATGATTCTGATTTTAATGAAATATTAGCGCAGAAACTTTTTCGACGTTATTTACAAAAAATTATTTGACTTGAATTTTAAACAGACAAACTCCATTGAATTTTTCATGTATTTAAAAAATGATAGATTAAAAACAATAAAAATAGAAATCTTATTTAACAATTCTTCTGAATTAAGTTATCGGTCTAACATTATTTATGATTTGACAAAAAACTTTTCGTTTAAATGAGTGTAAACAACGAATAGCGCGGGAATAATTTTCCTATATTTATGAAAAAGACGAACCTGCACATAAACATATATCAATAAGCATGAATTGTGACAGCTGCCGACTGACTTGAAATGTCTGCAAGTAACTAAAATTAAAATGATGGACGCAACCATGTTTTTTGGCCCTAATGTCTCAGTAATATGTGCGTTAGTGTTGTGTGTGGATATATATGTCTCTAACACAGCATGCAAGACGAAAAATCTCTGTGTTTAAGTTAAGCTTGTTAGATTTTTTAATAAAAAGTTTGTTCATATAACTACAATAGTCAAACCTGTATAGCTAATTCTCTAGTTGGTGTCAATATAATCACTCGAGTCATCGCTTTTTGCTGCGGCCGATACAATAAACGCTCCAAAATGGGTAACATGAAAGCAGCTGTTTTGCCACTTCCTGTTGCAGAACATGCACATAGATCACGTCCTGCAAGTGCAAGGGGTATGCATGTACTTTGTATTCGAGTTGGTTCAGTAAAACCACATGCTGTTATGGCCTAAAATAGATGAAAAATAAAATTCCAAGTAACAAATTTTCAATTTCATTGATTTTTGTAATTCAAATGTTATAATTAAAACACATTATGACAAAAGAGTAAGAGTTGCAAATTTATGTTTTGGAAAATATAAGAAAAATATTCCGAAAAAAATGAAGTGAAAAAACGAAATGCTCAAATTCAATTCGAATTTCGGACACTTCATCCAATATGCCAGTTACCTTCAGAAGCGTCCTGGAGAGGTTCATTTGATCAAAACTAATAGCTGTTTCTGCATTCAGCGCGTTATTACTGGTAGCATTATCGAAAAAACTATCTGTCGCATAACATTTCTTTTTTTTCGGCTGCTTTTCACGAATATTATCTAAGATTTCAAGCAACTGATAAGTATAGAAATAAGAAATTAAATAGATGAAATAGTTTTTTTAAGGACGTTCCACAATAAGCACATGCATGCTGTTGCTAAAAACTACCTTTGAGAAATTTTTTTTAATTATATTTAAATCTGCTTTTTAATATTTCTTGCCTATTTAGTGTTTTTTTCAAAAGAATGTTGAAAACAACGTTCAAAACTTTTCCTCAAATTAAAGATCTGAAAGTACCAGAAATATCTTTCATTTCTTGCACGAGTTCAGGAATTTTTTCCAGTGATCCCGAGTTAAAGAGTTTGGCGCGTTCTCGTTCAATTTTTTCTTCTAGTGTACTACTGGTTCCTTTTTTCACATATGGTTGCAGGCTCTTCAATATATCAATTTCTGTAAAACCACAAAGTTTAAAAGCTTTCCGATTTAAAATCCCAATTTTGTCAGCATTTTTCGCCGAGAAGGACGAGACCACTCTTTATGATGTTTATATCTTTCGTAACTAAAAAAGATGGATATACTGACAGAATAAATCACTCAAAACAAATCAAAATAATTCTCTAAAAAAATCTTATCTCTTTCAGGGAAGGAGAATCTGTTTGCTATTATGTGATCCGCATAATTACAAATTGATAACTTGACAGTTAAGATGTACAATAGGGAATTGGTAACGTTATCACTCTGGGTAACCATAGAGATTTACTGAAAAGCCAGAAAGAGGAAAGTAAAATACGATAAAACTTCGGATTAGTCTGAACAACCTTTGTCTTCTACACTGACACAATCGAATACAAATCCATCGACGAAATCTTTGCTCATCCCTTTCCGGCGCTTTTTCTTCACTTCCAATCCCTACAACAAACAAAATTTCCCTCATTTTTTAATGGAATGTGAATACGAAAAAAAATCAGCAAAAAAAACAACAACGGTGTCTGAAAAGTGAAGCAAAAAATTTTGGACGGAAAATAACAGGAAAATAAAAAATAAATGTTAAGCATTTACTTAGCTGTAAACATTTTTTAAAAAGTATTTCCTTGCACAAATGGAAAGTTATTGACAGAAACTCTTCTAACAAGTTTCATGCAGTTCGAGAAAATATAGTCTCATCATGCAATCAAAGCTAAATCGCGCTAACAACCAAGATTAACTTGAACAATCGGAAGTGACACTGTAAACTATTTTTTGAAATATTCACATAAAGTGTTGGGTCTAGAAATCGATGAATAGCAACAGACGTACAAGCCCTTCACGAAATCAAGAATATCTTAGAAAAGCGAGTACATGTCCGGAGAACTTAAAAAAAAGTCGAAAAAAGAATACTAACCTCGTCAATCTCGTCATCTGTTGATTCTACGACATCCACAATCTCACCGTCCGCAACTGTTGGAGGATACAACATTTTCTGCAAATTCTACCTGGAAAGCGGACATACAAACGGGATATACTGATTGCAATACACTCTCTGGTATAGTATCTACGATAAACGAACATCGCTATTCGATATGCATATAATCCTATATAGCAACCTTCAAGGCAACACACCACAACCGCAAATAATGAAATTCATTTATTTTATATCCATTTTGTTGTTGCAATCTGACAGTTTCAATTATACGGCCTGTCTATGCAATAAGGTGATCCCAACTAACTCTAACTAATTATTCATATACTGTTACACGCAGTGAGCACGACAAATACTTGTGTTCATTTGTCACTTCACCACATAAAACATCCATATTCTGCAGATCTTCAGCGATGTTTGTGTAAATGACACTCCACTAATATTCTGCTACCCCTTTTCCTGGAACACTAACTTCATACAAACAAAATTAATGCATTTATCATTATGTTACATTTAATATAATTTTCGTACATGTTCTAAGAATCAATCAACAATCTATATACTTCGATATATCACCGAATTATGCACGCAATGGACCATTTATAACACTGATAATTCAATGCATTACAATCATAACAATAAAAGACGATGAGATAACAGTAATTAGATTTAGAAATATTTCGAATAACTTCTTCGAATTTTAGGTTTTACAATAAACTGAAAAAAGGATGAACAATAATAGTTGAAATTATTTTTCAATCAGATTCAAATCCTTTCATATGTATTGTGATAAGCTTTGAATTTCAAGAAAAATCAATAGCGTATATAATTAATTGCTTTAATGAATTTCAGTGACAGTCAATTCATCGTCATCCCCATTAGTTTCATCATCATCGTTAACAACCGAAATAACAAATGACTGCATGGCACGACCCAACTGATCCATTGAAGCAATCAGAGAATTCATACGATTTGGCCTCGTGTCATACTCGATTCCTTCATCCTCCTCAGCCGAAGTAGCACTCGATTCAATCTCTTCTGTTCCACTTTCCTTATTTTCATTTCCAACATTTTGTTGCTGCAAAATTTTTTGACATTTTCACTGAAATTATTCAATATTTTCAATTCAAATTGAAGTGAAGGAAAAGAATAAATAATCGGAGTAAAAGATTGAAGAATATTGACCTTAGATTGAGTTTACAAACATTTTTTGAAAATTAATATTTATGATTACTCAAATCCTAACATTGTTTAAATAGGACCACAATTCGTTAAACTTATTTTGAGAACAAGTATTTTAACTCTCATATAACACAAAAATTGGTTAAATAACTCACTTGAGCAATGACCGTTCGTAACCTTGCAAGTTGTGTTTCAAGCTGACGATTCTGTTCTTCCAATATTCGACTTCGTTGTTCCAGTCGTTCTTTATGTTGCCGCAACAGATATGCCTAAATAGCGTAAATAGTTTTGTAATGATCAATGATCCGAAAAGTATACAGATTATGAAAGGAAGCTGTAGAAAGAATAGAAAAATTGCAGAAATTAACCTCTCTTAATAGTTGATCATCACCGGAATTAGAAAGTGAGGGAACAGATCGTCCTGTTCCCATATTATTAGTGACACTCCGTGACATTGTTGAACTACCGCCTCGTGTCAGGTTAGGCGTTGAACCCACAGCGTTACCAAGCTTCCTCCGTCTTTCAATTTCTTTTTTCAATTCTCTAAATTTATAAATACTTCCTTCGAATGATTAACTATAATGTTTTTCTCACGACCAAGAAAATTCAATTCTAAATTACCTATTTTCATGTTGCAGTTTGTGCAGTACTTGATCTAACTCTTCCTTGTGCATTTGTTCAACCTGAGATAAAAGTTGTAAAGGTGACTTCAATTCTGTCGTACTCATTTTCATTTCCTCTCCAGTATCATTTGAAGCAAGTATCGGTGTATCATTTTCACCTCGTGCTCTCCATAATCTAAAATAATTGGCACTGATTATCAAAATTTTAACTCCTATTATGACAGAGGCTGGCAAGTCGCTAAGCGTATCATCACTGACGAAGTGATGGTATCAAGAAAAAAAATCGGTTGTTTTGAATTTCGGAAATTTTTTAAATGAAAAATCTGAAAAGTTTAAAAGTTACGAAACCCAATCCAATTTAGCATGAATAAATCAAACTACAATGGACCTTCGAGCACAGAGTTGTATTCGATTATGGATCGGTTCAGTGAATGGATTAACTGGTACAATATTACTGGTTTCCAACGGAGGCCCCTCATCTACCGTTTGCACCGGTAGATAACCAATTCGTGTCTTACTTTTCGACCGCAATTTATTTCTCACTATCAGGCCAAAATCACGCACATCCTCACCTGATGTTGTCTAAAACCATCCTTTAATTTAAAGGAAAACGAAATATAAATGAAAAATATCAGAATAGATGAGAAAATAAAAGATTATGAAAATGAATTATTTTAGATATTGATCGAAATGATAACAAACTTACCGGTAAGCAATATTCCTGTATGGGATGTGATAACTTATGATTTTTAGCAAGCCTTTGGCTAAAGAAACAGTTCTGACAAACGTCAACATTAAAACACCGTAGACAACGATAACGCAATCCAATAATTGGAAACATTTTGCAAACATTACATTTCGCCTATAAAAACTTTTGGAATTAATATCAGTCATTATTAAATAACTTTATAAAATAATAAACAAAAAGAATAACTTTTCTAATAATGTAATTACTGATAATTAGATTAGTAACTCATTATAATATAGCTGTTAATTATTGACAAATTTCAAAATTTAAACTGCAAATTAGTATTGAGGTAAGAATGCATTATAAGAAAGTCTCTAGAGAAAATTTGAAGTTTTCGATATAAAAGAATATTCTGTTGGATTCTTTCTAATTTTTTGTCAACTAAATTTGTTCAAATCAAATAATTCGGAAATGAAAATAAAACAGAACTTTGGATTTTATTTTTTACTTTTTTTAAAATGCAAACAATACCTGATGTTTAGCAAATTCGGCATTAGCTAGTCGATGCATGACAGATAACCAAACAATACTTTGCGGCTCCTTTTTTAACCAATTCAAAAATTCATCAATTGAAATCGATCGTGGGTATTTCGCCGTTTCAAAGCATGACCGCACCGATGGTTCTACATTTGAACCACCAAATGCTGCTGCTTCGCCGAAAAATCGTGGGATCTGAAACATATTTAGATTTAAAAAAAAAGAAAAGCTTTTTATGATATGAGTGAGACATGAATAATTTGATACTTTCTAATGCAATATCTTTTTCCGGTCTCAATTTGTTTATAAATAATTATTGAAATTTCGATATCTTTGATATTAATTAAGTTATTAAAACTAAAGCAGATCTGTCAATTAACACTGAATTGATTTTTCGAAATAGTATACTTGTAAACAAACATATAAGTTTCCCAAGAGTTTTTAATGTAATTTTCGATAAAAGCTGAAAAGGTCAAAGGTTACATGAATGATATCGTATAAGAGAAGGGCAAGTTTCTTGTGATCGACACCTTCATTGTTCGCAATAAGTTGGTATAAGTCTGAAATATTTATTTATTGGAATCATCTGACAACAAACTTTAAAAAAGGAATCGTCATGAAACATTTATAACATGAAATCACGCACAGGAGGAATGATACAGTGCTCAGAGGTCTTTTGACCTTTTTTATTAAATATTTGAATTGGAAGGGTAAAAAATTTACATCTATATTTATCTTCCAAATTTGAATTGCACAATGTAGCTAATAGTACACGAAATGAAAATGCCCGCAGGATACAATCACGCGCTCTGAAAAATTCAATGCAATTTGAATGGATTTTAATTATTATGATTTTAATAATTATGATGCTAGAGAAGTGTGCGCAATTAGATTCCAGTAGAAAGTAAATTAGTCATGTATGTAAGTTTCCGGACAAAGTTAATGATTCAACTCCAAACCATAATCTAATTATAAATGGGATAAGCAAGAAAAATAACTGCTAGATCGTTTATGACATGGTAAGTAGCTACAATAGAAGCTAAGGATTATTTGTAGAAAGAAGGGAAGAAAAGTTAACTGAGATCATCATTTTAGAATAATCCCCATCAGTTACTACACGACATTTTCAATTCAAAAAAAGCACATTTGTTTCTAAATTCCACTCATCCAAAAAAAAATTCTCAGGAAAATGTTTCGTTTTCATTTCAATACACAGAAAATCTATTCTAAAAATGAAATCCAATTTGTAAAATTCTTTTAATAATGGACGATAGTTCCTATCAGAATGAGGTAGGAAAATTGGATTATTGCGCAATGAAGCATATCACTTAGCTAAAAGATAAAAAGAAGGACGATAAGCTGGCAATTCTTGGATATCAGATGGATTGAAATGTATTTCAAATTTTTACTGAATTGAAAAAAATATTGAATCCAAAAAAAAAGAATGAAAACTTACGGATCGAATACATTCAAGGCAAAATTGAGCAATAAGTCAACAGCCAATGGTATAGAATGTATCAGTTTGGGATACTTTTGTTGCGCCACTTCAAAGAGCGGAACCAAACACATTACCGCATCTTTCATTGATAAGCATTGCTCACCTAACATTGAATTCAGCGTTTGTAACTTCGAATCTACATCTTCCAGAGTTATCAAATCCACTAAAATGCACAATTTTAAAGGCATGGAAAAATATTCAGGAAAGAGAAGTTCAATACATTGAGCATGTAAATTCGCAGAAGCGCATGTTAGAATGAGATCTGATTTGCAGTAATAATGTCTATCAAACTTACAACAAAGGCGTTTCTGGACTGCTCGTAATTTCATTGCTGTACGATAAGCACTAAATTTGACCTGATTGAAAGTTGTCAACTCTTCCATAATTTCGACCATTGCTGGATGATCCCATTGAGTTACTTCTGTTTCATGACTACAATTTACAACAATCATTTCTCAAATGTTTTAATGATTAATAATAAGATTCAAATGTTTTAATGATTAATATTTTATAACAATATTCTATGAGAATCTGTTTTACTAACAGCAAAGTATTATGCTTTAAAAAATTAGCAATTTACTTAATATAATAAGGTAAATGATTAGAAGATGAAACAGCTCGTTGCCAAGGTGCCTGAACACTGTTTTTTAAGAAATGCTGACTTGATGGACCAAAATCGATCATGGCACGTTCCAAAGCCGCCGCACGAATATGTAAATCTGATTTTAAATTCATCATCCTAAAATAAACAGAATAGTTAGGATTTTTTTAAAAACAAACAAATAAGGACTAAAAAAAAGTATTTATATTTTACGATGAAAATGGAAAAGCTGAAGAAATGTTTTCAGATTAGGTTATCCATGACATGGAATTATGCTCGGATGAAAGTTTTAACAAGCACTATTAAATTTTGACAATATTTGACATAAAATTTCGACAAGATTTGACAAGATTTCGATAAGAATTGACAAAATTCTGCCAAGATTTTTATTTGACAAAACAGTGAGATAGATGTAACTCTAGAATACCTCAATCTTTAATTACTGATTTAATTCAAAAATTAACTTTAAAAAGGGAATCCGATAAAAGTACATTATCAAGTAATATGTTATCCTTTTGAGCTCATTAGTGAAAAAGTGACAAAAAGTTCTCATTAAATCTTTTAGCTTCAAACGAATCCTCAATAAAGAGGAAAGTCATTTCTGCAATTTTTCTAAGGTAATATCAAATTCCATTTCAGTTGCGGCAAACGAAAAGGATTATATCAATAAGAATTTTAAATTTCAATGAATTAAATCATGTCTCTCTACTCTTTTAGAAATTAAAATTTTCTGACAATATGAGAATCTGCTTCTTAAAGCACATATCTTATAGGAAAATTAATCGACAAAAATAGGATAAAATTAGCATATTTCCATATTTTTGCTCGAACTGAAGTGTATTGCAGGAAGCATCTTTCTCTTCACTAAATGTTACCTTCGATAATTAATTAAAATAAAAATTCATTGAATAAAATAGAACTCGCTGAAAAATCTTATCTTTTCTTGACTAAAAAAAATTTTTAATTCAATTATTTAAAATTAATTTTCTTAAGCATTGTTAAGGTACGAAAAATTAAGACGGAAAACCACCTGTTGCAGCAATTTTTTGCAGCTCCAAAATAAAAGTGTACCTCAAATCATAAGTCAAGGACAAGATGGTGCATCATTTTTCGTTGAAAATTTTTTGTAAAATTATCTCCGTAATGATTAAATTAGAAATTAGCTTTCAAATCATTTTTGGCTTTTTTTTTGGATGATTATTCATTTGTTGATAAAACTATTTAGAATTTTACCACAACTCTCTTTTACTACAAGAGATAACAAAAAAGATTTTGACCTGAAAATATTTATTGAAAAATTAGGTTCAACTTAACTTGGTCTTTAATTAAATAAAAAAGACAATCTTGATAAAATTTTCCTGCAGTTTTTTATGTTTAAGCTAGCGTTTGCTCTTTTTATATTTTAATTTTTAACTTATTAGATTTTTATATGAACTAATTATTCATATAAAGATTTAACAAGTTTAAAACATCAATGTGATCATAATAGCAGTTAGTAATAACTGGCAGATGCCGATACGATTATTTGCTAATGTACGACAATCAGTGGCGGTGGCTCATTTTTTCTTTTAAAATACATACCTATCATTGATTGATCTCAACTGTTCACTTGGCTCAGATGCCAATTCGACATCTGATGCTAACAGTTGTCCACTCCAATCATTAGCATCATCAATATGCATTCGTGTTCGAGCCAAATACTCTTTCAATTGTTCAGTTTCGTCAACCGCTGTCGTTAACTCTTCTAATCTTAACTCTTCGATGGGTCGAAGCTGTCCCATTCGTTCTTCCATGTTTGAAAGCGCCAGCTGACATTCAGCAGTTGCTGACGCTAATTTTTCCATCTTAGCATTTGCATCATAAATGATACATGCCCAGGCATTCAATTGCTCTCGTAATTCACTCCATTCCTGCACTAAACGATCGCTATCAGATTTAATTTGAATACCAACACGTCTCAGTTCCGCATTCTCATCTAAAAAAATATAATATTTTAGCTTAAAAATGGATTATTTAAATTAATGTGATATTAATCATATCAAAATAATTCATGCAATAATTTATCAGCATTTAGAGTTAAATAAATTTCTATTTTTCTAGATCAAATATTGAATCAAGTAGAAAAATAAGCGGCTCATCAGAGAAGTTTTTTGATTTTTTGTAGAATTTTGTAATTAATCAACTGTGAAGCAATAAGTATTCCTCTAAAAGAACTCATAAATATTTGCAAATTATTATCTCTGACATATATTCTCTTTAAGTATGGAAGATTGTAAATGGGTACTTTCTATAAGTAATTTGAGACTTACGGTTAATGAAATTGATTATACGAATTATGCATTCAATAGAATTTTCAAAAAAAAAATTCAGATTATGGTATTAAAAGAAATCGCGAAATGTGGTATTAAAAGAACTATCAAAACTTATTTTACAAACGAAAAACAAATGCTAACCATTTTCTTCATCTGGTGCCAAAGTGCTGGTACTTCTCATTCGGGGTCGAAGGTCATGCTGCATAAGGTAACTGTGCGCCAATGTTACACACTCGTCAACATCACGCTGACGAAGCTTCATTTCATGCTCAAGTTTCTAAAAAAACTTTTGAAGTTAGAATAAAAGATGGTTCAGAAACACGAAAAATGTTTCTGGTACGGTACAGGAGCAAAATTTGAAATTAATTCTATTATTTCAATTTTAAAATAAAGAAATGATTCTTTTTCATCCATTAATTTATCCTTCATTTCCATTCCTGTCTAGTCTGAGAGAGAATAAAATAATTTCGATATCGTATATTAGAAAGAATTTCAATTTCTACCATATCTATTAATATAAGTTATGCTCTTTCAAAATATATTTACTTCAAAATTGTCTCAAGCCAAAGTCTAGTAAAAATTACTTACTTTATCCAAAACAATTAATTATTTCAGTATATTGCAAAACATCACGAAAATTGTATGACAAAATGGATTTACAATTTTGTTAAATTAAGAAAAAAGAGTCTCAGCTTCTCATTTTAGTATGTATTTGATTGCATTGCAGGTATGTGCGTGTTTGTGTATGTGTGTGTGTAAATTATGCGGTGAACTCTGAAAGACGAAAAAAGAATGGATGAATGAAATAATACCTGAATAAAATTAGTCTGTTCCTGCACTCGAGCCAACGAACCACCAACTGGTTGTTCTTCAAGTAATGCTTTACTTTGTGCTTCAGCCCAAAGTAAATTTTCAGCCATTTGCGTAAATAATTTCTCCCATTCTTCCTGAGCATTCATTAGACGAGTACTGAAATGAACGGAATGGAAATGAGGAATGAATTAATGGATGCAAAATCTCTCAGAGAGCTTTCATTAAAAATACTTTCTTCGCCTTATTAATATTTTAAAGATTAAAGAACGCCTTTTGAAAGATTATAATATCCATTACCGTTTAAGTTTTATAAATTTGATTATTACACAGAAGTCTTCTGTGAAGAAAGAGTAAACAACCGTATTAGTTCATTCAAAGATCTTGGATTAAAGACAATTAATATGTACGATCAAAATTATTTTTTTAAATAATTTGGAAGCTAAATAATAAACGGTCAATTTCCCAAGCGCTGATGTCCAAATATCACCAATCTATGCCAATTGTTGTGAAGATGAGACAATAATTCGGACACTTTTCCAAAAAATAAAAATTACAAAAAAAAGTCACCCGATAACATCAGCTAATCCGAGCAGATGTCGCCATCGGATATCAATATGACTTAAGCGCTCTTTGAGTTGTTCATGTTCTTTAATATCTTCCACTCGACGTGTTAACTGAGCACCCATCTCTTTCACCGATCCGATAACATCCTTATGAGCGTTGATATCAGCTTGCACACTCTGTAATTTTATTATTAATACTTAAATCTTATCCTCATCTAAAATTTAACTTTATTCAACAAATATACTTTCATATAAAGTTTATTTCGTTTCATACCTCAAATTTGGCAAAATATTTTGCAACGAAAAAGAAATAATTTTACCACTGTATAATCATACATATGAAAGCTTTAACTTAATGAAAGAATTAAAGCTTTTTTTATGAAAGCCTTAACTTCGTTACTAGTTTTTCTTGCATTCATATTTCTTTTGTTCCTTAAAATTCTGCTAAGAAATCATGAAAATTAAGTTCAATTAAACCAGTACTTTTCTAGAAGCAATATGAACTTTCACCTTCTCATCTTCAATCCATTTTTTTCTTTTAACAGAATCTTTAAGCATCTGCGTATTCATTGTTATTTCATTCAACTCTGCCAATGACATCTCAACACCATTCATCCATTTTTCCAGTTGTTCAAGCGCAGAATGAAAATCAGTTCTGGTTCGAAGAGCCGCTTCTAACACTGCTCGTCGAATACGAACACTGCAATAAATTCACCTTCATCTCTCATTTAACTTCCCAAAGCATTGGATACATACACAATCTTCCACTGCAATTCCAATCGGAAATTTCAAGAACCAAATTTAAAATTCAGCAAAATTAAAAATAAAATTCCTCAAAAAATTTACAAGAAAGAAAATCAAATAAAGATTAAAAAGAAGCGAATATTTTTTTTCCAAATTTCAATAAATCATGTATTTTGACTATATACTGTAATTGAGAACAAAGTAACCATGTTCGATTTTTGCAACAAACAAAAAAATTTATCATTAAATCGAACTTTTGAATCATTTTATCTCTCTTAGTTTGATAGCTTCAAACTAAAGTGTTAAAATTTCAGATGTAATAAGGGTCAAAGGATAGAATTTAAACTTGGGAATATAAAAGCAAACGTTAAACTTACTTATCATTAAATTTACTCCATAAAGCATTCAATTTTGAAATTGTATGAGATAAGTTATGTCCTTCATCAGCGCGGTAATTGTTCAACAAAGCGTTACTGCGCTCATTTAACTCATCCATCTTTAATTTCATTTCTCCCGCTGTCTCGACTATTCCTTGAATCTTATTGAGTTCTTCTTTCAATGTCTGTACATTCGCGGCATCCACCTTACTGCCATCAATTACTCTGCACATTTTCATCTCATTTATTTCGTTATTAAATGCAACGAAAGTAACAGAAAAAATGATAAACCTCTAAATTTTTTTTTTTTTGAAATATATAAATGTAGAATATTGTGAGGCCAAAATTTTGTGATTAAAAATTTTTTAAACATTTTCGGGAGAAAAAAACAAACCTTTCCTGAGCATCCGTGAGCCAAGTAGTTAATGTCACTCTTAACTTATCCCAAATTCGACTGTCTTCTAACATTTTAGTTAATGTTATTTTTCTTCTCTGACATTCACCTAATATTTTATTGCATTCCACTGTCATTACTTCACTCCTTTCTCGTACTACCTTATTCTGACTTTCGTCCAAAATTCGAATCAAATCCAAATGACGCATTTTTAATTGATCAATAAAAGCCTGAAAAGAAAAGTTTTTTTTGGGCATTTATTAAAACAACAAAGTTGTTGGGATATTTTTTTCTAATTCATTTCAACTTTTTTAAATGAAAATATTAATTTCAATTAAATTCTAAATCATAATATTAATCTCTTGAAATACTACAACAAGCAAGAAATAATATGTTAATATTATTCATGTTAAGCTTCATATTTGTTCAGTAGAAAGAATATTTCACTTACAGCTTCTTTCTTGGTCGAGGAAATATTACTTCGATCTTTTATTTGTAAGAATTATAAAATGAACAATTAATTCATCACTTAAAATTATCAATAAATTTCGAGTAATTGCGTAAGGAAAAACAAACAAACAAACAAACCTGCATTTGAATAATTGCATTTCTTATGCATTCCGAATCGGCTAAATCAACAGTTAACGATGCGTCACGTTCTATTTCCGTTAGCCAATGTCCAGTATGCACGATATTGTCCATTAGAAGTCGCTCTTTGGGTGACAGATTTGATGCAACCGATTCCTCAAACGGAACAGATTCATTCAAAGTCCCATACTCACCTGTGTGAGATTCTTTTTCTTCAACAATACTTGATAAAACTGTTCGCATTCCACTTGTCAATTCTTCTTCTCCAATCGCTTCTAAAATTATCACTTAGAATAAAAAGAATAATTGTTAACCTTTCCTAAAATCTTTCCTAAATTACTAAAGTTGAAAAATACAAATTTTTTTTGTTTTACTCACATGGCATCACTAAGCCTTATCTGTATATCTGATGACATTTCATGAATTTCAAAGAAATCATAAATGTTGAATTCTGTTTAAACGGGATAAATTACGTAAACAAGCCTGATGTTACAGACGATGAGTCATGTTCAAGAGTTGGTAAACAAGCTGTGACAGCCAATTTTTCCTTATCGTTGCTCCATTTACGTAAGGTATTTTCCACAATCTGCAAAAAATTTTGATCTAAGAAATGTATAAAATTTCAACTTATACTCGCATAAAATTATTTATAATCGCAGACCAAAACAAAAATAAATGGGCTACTTTTAGTGCTTTCTTTTAAATTTCTTTTAATACTTCTAAATGGACTACTTTTTTGTAAGTGAGTTATTTATCGTAAAGTATTAAATTGAAATTTACAAGCCATTATAAAACGATTTTCTGAGAAGTGAAAAAGCATAAATACTGAAAAGGTAAGTGAATAATCTTCCAATTATCACTCTATTTCAAATTAAAAATCCAAATATTTCAAATTACAAATTCATGACAAATCATCGCAGTTGTGAAAGTAATTTTAATGATTACGCTGTAAAGAAATAAAAAAAGTTCTGTAACTGATAACATTGACATCTTCTTAAAGAACTAAGCTTAAATGTATGTATTATAGTGCTTAAAATTTTTATTGCCGGAAAATTACTAAAGAAGCCATAATTGTTTTTCTATTTTATATTAAGTTATATTTCTTTTTTATCAATTCTCAGCAGATCTGGTATTGGAATTTTTATATTTTGATATTATAAATCACGCAAAAAGCACAATAATATTGAAATTGAATGAATCGACTGATCATAATCGATTAATTTGTTTATCATTAAATTTTGGAAAAATTATCAAATTTCTATGGCCAAAAGTAACAATTCTGAGATGATCGTCGACCACTGATCCTTCTAAGGAAGAAATATCTTTCCACTGCTGTTCCACTCTTCTAGCAATTTCATCAGTTTCCGCTTCATGCAAACGAACATAGTCCAAATCGGTACCGGACGGTACAAAAATTGTCGCACTTTCTACTCTAAAATATTTCATGCAACAAAAATGAATTTAATTGTACAAATACAATCCTTTATTCTTTACTTTATTTTACTCAATAAAATTATAAGTTGGATTAATTGAACTGAAAGAAAATTAAACTAAGATATAATAAATGAAGTGATTCGACTAGTCAAAACTAGCGTTAAATACTTTAAAATTGCTTAATTAATGACATATCTTCAGTTTTTTTTTTTCAACAGAGTAAGCTAATTAACGAGAAAAAATGGTTGTTATAATATAATACATCGTTAATTAAAAAGCGTAAAAAAATAGGATATTCAAAAAGTAAGAATGAATAAAAATGGATAATAAATGAGAAAAAATGATTATTTTCCTTCAACTAACCGCAACATTTTCAAAATAAAAATGAAAAAAAAACCAATAAACATACAATTGAACTGCTTTTTCTGTTCGCTCACAAAATTTCTGCAATTTATTCAAATCATCGTGGAAATTTGCGGCAATATTTACAGCACTGTCAAGTTCTAATTTTCGGTCACGCAAAAGACCACGAATCTAAAAATATTTACTTCTATTCTCGCTAAAAAAAATATTGAAAAATAAAGATAACAAGCAAAATTCACAATTTAAAAAAATTTTTTTCAAAATTTTGCAGCATTTTAACATATTGGCATTTTCGTAATTTTTATTTAGGATGTTTGAAGAAGAAAATTTTTAAGGAATCAAAAATATTTAGGAAGTTTTAAAAAGCAGAATAATAGGCTACAAATAAGAAAGAGACAAAATAAGGCTCCGTAAACAATGAATAATTAAATATCCTAACTTTCTTGGCAAATAATTTTAGAGATAAAATTTCAGCAAAAGAGAGAACTTGAATAAATAGGAAATTTCTGTATATGGAAAATTTTTTATATCAATTGAAGTTACATCAGTTAACTACTATGAAACTAGAAAGTAATATTCATGCCATAAAACTATTTTTTTGAAAAATTGAAAATTGATCATGGCAAATAATCTAACCAAGCTAATACGTTTTCCAATTTCGGAAACAGCTCGTCGTATTCGATGTTTACTGGTTGGATCCGTTATTTGGGCGTTAATTAAATAATCTTTTAAACGTTCAATGATTTGCAAATGTGCATGTTTCATTTCATAGCTATTTAAACGTTCCTGAAAGTAATTTATAGAAAAAGAAAAAAAATTTTCTTGAAACATTTCTGCAAATAAATTTTTCAGTTGATGATATTAACCATTAGTTTTTTGATTTGTTTTGGCTTAATTAGAAAATGGATTAATGTTTTCTTTAAAAATCTCTTTAATCATTGATATCATAATGAGATCAGATGTTCTTTGTGGGAAACTTAAAAATTAATTTAAAATGAAGTAGGATGTTAACAAAAAAAAGGAGTTTTACGACAAGAACCTCTAATTTTGATGAAAGTTCCTTCAAAACAGGCAAATTCAATGGACTGATAACGATGGCACATTCCGCTTCCGTTTCATCACACCTTTAATCATTTGTTGAGAATGATTTGATAATTCGAAGTTCTCGTTATAATATAAACAAAATTAAAACGGGACCATTAAAATGAATTCAAATCTTTTTAATATTTCTCTTTTCATTATTCTGAAGTCGTTCAATTTAATCGTGAGGTCAAAAAGTTAAAAATAGCTAAGTTATGACTGATAAATTATAGTTGTTTTAGGTCAATTTTCTCAAAAGAAAAAGGGAAAAATAAAAATTTTATCAAATATTTAATTATTCAATTGAAGATAATAATTGGATCATTGACTAAAAGTAGACAAAATTTTGACATATAAACTTGAAAATTTGAAACACTATTTGCATGTATTGTTCAAATTTAACTTACTGCTATAAAAATATGTTTAAAATTACATACCAAAATTGGAGTAATTCCATTTCGTTATTCAATTCCGATTCGTCTGCAAAATGTTCATCGAATCGGCGTCTTTTTTCCCGAACAATATTTTCATACTCTTTCCACTGTTCACCAATATTTCGTAATCTGTCACGAAGTTGAGCGGCTTCTCCCTCATCTATTTGTGTTAATAGTGGTTCTGCCTGAACAATTTATTTGCTTATTTGACATGAAGCCATCATATTTCGAATTATTTTTAAAACTGAAACATCAAACTAATAACAAATTTTTATGATACACATAAATAATCGCCCTCACTATAGCACTGCTCATTAATTGTCTTGCAAAAAAATGAGTGACTTAATTTGACCTTTCATTTATCTCTTGCAGATATATTTCAACCATATGTATCGTTTTATAACATAAAATGGAAATAATTATTCATTTACAAATTTCCGGACTATTTCAGATATTATCACTTTTCTTTCCATTTTCATTACGATATAAGCGTAACGGTACAATAATCCGCTAGGAATGAAATAATTGTAAGAATACGGTATTTATCCAAAGGAAAAAGTAATTTCCTATTTTTTCCTGCTTTTATATATAACCGAAAAATATAACCTTTAATGAAGTATGTTGTATTTGTGCCAAAGCTCGTTGTAAATGATCCTCTAAAGATAGTGCAACACGTTCCATTTCTTCTAATTCCGGTGATTTCTTCCGGTTATCAATTTCAATTAGTGCTTTATCAATTTCATCCAGTAGTTTCTGACTGATTTCCATGTTTTTCTCTAAGCTATTTTCAGCTTTTATCAGCTCATCTATTTCACTGAAAAAAAGCTTCATAGATAGATAAAGTTACTAAATATTAACTTGATAAGAAATGACTTCGTAACTTTGTAGAGATCATTTTAAAGTAAGTTAGCAAGTTCAAAAACATTTATATCCTTCTTTTCCCGTAATTTTTTAGCAAATCCACCCTAATTTTGATTAAATTTTTAAACTTCGTAGAAATCATTAAAATCGAGCTAAATTAAGCAATAGATGCTAATATTCAACAAGCAAAACTGTTAACATTGGTTCATTAATATTCATTCAACATTCAATGACTTTTCCAAGACAATATTTAAGATGAAGACCAAAAATCAAAAAATTTTGCTGGATACATGTAAGTGTTGGAAAGAAATACGCGAAGATGAATGGTTACTTCAAGCGACGGTCCTTCCAATCTCGAAGTGCTTTGAGCCGTTCATGTGCCGCTTCATTTTCCATCAAATCCATCGTCATCTGTGATTCGTCAATTGCACGCTCAACTTTTTTTAAAGTTTCATTCATTTCCTAAAAATAGAATAAGTGATGAATTTGACAAGATCAGTTAGATAAAAGTTGAAGTCTGAAAGAAAAAACTTTAATATAAGAAAGCAAATTAAAGATCCTTTTCAACGTATTGCCCTTACGAAAGAATTAAAAACAACTTCGATGTTGTCGAATTTTTTAGATATGCTAAAATAAGAACATTGGAAAAAAGAAGCCTAAAGGTAGACGTCAAAAGGGTAGGAAATGGAAACTTCACATATTTTGGATTATTCCTCATGAAATAATGATCGGTGTAGATAAAATGGTATTAAATTAAAAACAACTCAGACTAAAATGAAGAAATAAAAATATTTATCAAAAAATACTTTTGTTGGCATATAGATTTTAAAAAAAATTTTTTTAAATGTCTGAATTTTGAAACTTCAAGAACTTAAATTATTTTCATTAAATTTTTTAAATCTAAATTACTCCAATTCCACTAATTTTAATTTTATCCTTGATCATTTTTACTCTATCCTTCAACCGATAGCACCCATTTAAACCTATTAATAAGACCCAAACTAGTATAGATCAAACTGATTTCATAAATGAGTAGTTAGAATATAGATAGTAATGAACCTGATTTCATAAATGAGTGTTAAATCAAATGGACTGGAATTTAAAATTGAAGTTTACAATTGAAACAAACAAACAAAAATATTAAATCAAATAAAGAAATGGACTGATAATGATTTAAATGGACTAATTAATTTTTAAAGAATAGCTTCGTTGACTTAACAAAGCTGCCAACCAGCAGTGACGCTTTACTCTCACAAAGCACTACCACAAACAACGAAACATTTTCCTCAATTATTTTGTGATCGGTATTTATTCAGCGAACTGTTGTTCCCATGAAATCATAGAACAAATAATGTCAAATAATGAGCTTGAACATAAGAAAAATTTACCTGAGGGAAAAAATAGAAAGAAAAGAGCAGAAAATATGACATATCAATGGAATGCATTATTGTTAGCTGATGAAATTCAAAAATGATTGAAAAACGAGTGATATCAGCAGGTGATATAAACTCGGTAAACAGTAAAACATTATTGATATTTGTTACACAATTATCAGTTATACTAGAAAAAGTAGTATAAAGGAAAGAAATTGAGAAAACTAGAGGAATTTCATCTTTTTTTTAAAATTAGCATATGACGGCTGTAATAAATTGTACAAAGAGCAATAAGCCACGAAGACCGGGGTCACACAAGTGGTCAGTGCTTCAAACGATGATACAGTATGAATGTGTGGTGTTGGAATGCTATGCAATGTGCTACAGTGGAAAGAAGTTTGAGATAAATGATCAGAATGTCATGTCACTGACCTGTAATTTTTGCTTCTTTTGATGTAAATCCTTAAAAGGCAATGGGTCACTTTGATTTAACTCTTTTTCAATTTCATCCATTTCGATGTATAAAGACATTGGCGATTCAGATCCCTCCACAACGTTAATTTTCATTGCCATCACCAAAGGTTCAGAGCTGTTTGATTCTGTATTCTTCAATTCTGAACGCGATCTATCATCTTCAGCTTCCTATAATATTAGCTAATGAATTAGCATGAATACATCACAAATATGTTATACATTTTTTTCTCCAAAAAAGAAAAATTGAAAAGCAAAAATTTATGAAAAAAAAAAGTTAATGGTCAATAAATTTTTTCAGATAATTATTAAAGGTAATTTATGCAAATGATTGAAATGCATAGTTTAGTGAAAAGACTAATACTTTTATATCTTGTGGATAACATAGAAGTGATAAGATGAGCGTATATAAATTATATGAAGTGAAAGATTACCAGTACTTCAAGTGTAAGTGATTGTCCATTAGTACTTGCAGTCGAGATTACGTCCGATTCTTTTTGCTCTTCAAATGATTTGTCCGTTTGCATCATTAAATTCTTTCTGCTCTTCTTGATTGATGCATCTATTTTCTCGTCCAGATCGCGAATTTTATCATGAATTTGATCCATTGTTGTATTTGGTTGATTTATTGATGTTCCAGGCAGGCAACTATGAAGATCATCACTTTTTCGTTGTAAGTAATCCAGTTGAGCTTGTCGGTCTAGTAAATCACGTTGAGTAGCCTGGAAATTCAAAAAAATTTTATTTGAAATTTAAGCTAAAGAGGGAAATTTGTATTATTTTGTTACATAAAATATCAATCTTTTAAAAAATCTTAAATATTTGAGTGATAATCCTCTGAACTTTAACTCTAACAAAATTCTCATTTCAAAAGCTACTTTTCGTGCTTGCTGAGGCTATAAGTATGCCCGATATCCAAACGAATGCTTGCTGTCCCAGATACTAGCTGGTCAGATTACAGATAATGGGGTCTATTTCGGCACA